ACTCCTCAAGCTCCTTTTATCTTATGAATATTTGTGCGAGGATCACCTTCGATGGATCCAATTTCAATGATTGGATTCACAACATTCGAATGGCCATGCGATATGAAGAAAAGGAATACGTTCTCGACAAGCAACTGAACGAGATCAATGAAACCAAAGCTACTCCTGAACAAATAGATGAGTGTAGGGCTCACGAAAAGGACGTAACAAAGGGGCAAGGTTCAGATCGTTGCATAGCATTTTCGTATTATAATGAGGGGATCATAGAAATTTGGTTGTTTCATCGATTCGGCGACTGCGGTGGAGGCCATGTTGCGAGTGAAGTCTTCGACCCAGTTTAGAGAAAAGCATGTGTCTCTGAGGTACTTTGAGTATATGATTCTGAAGTCCAGATTGGAGGTCCAACAGGGAACGAATGGGATGGTGCATGATCAGTAACCATTAGAAGCTAAGGGTCCAAGTCTGTTGATGTTCATCACCAGGTCAGGAAAGTCGTAGTCGGTGTGATAGGTTTGGGAAGACGCATGGAGGAAATATCTGCCAAACTTGTTCACAAAGTCCCTAAAGGATTCCTTAGGATCCTAGACTACCCGATAAAGATCACTAGTGATCTTTTCGAATGTTCTACTACATGAAAATTGATTTTTAAAAATATTAACTAAACGTGCAAATGGATTAATAGAGCAAGGAGAAACATTAAAAAGCCATTTTAAGGTTGTAAGAGTCGATCCGAAGCCTTTGCATAAACAGACTTCTTTTAAGTTTGGTGGAAAAGGAATGATCTCCATTATATCTCTATATTGTGCTATGTGTTCTTTAGGATTCGTGGTTCCATCGTAAGACTTCATGCTGGGAGTTTGGAAGCGCTTTGGAACTTCAGTGTCAGTTATCAAGCGGATAAATCTTGAGATCATGTGACTGGTGGGGGATACTTCCGGTATAGGTTAGACCATTCCTGACACGCTCGAGATCATCTTTCTGAGTCGCTGAAGCTCTTTAGCCATGACCAGACTTATTCCTGTGTCAAGGTTCACAGAGTTAGTAAGGGTATTATTGTCCAAGAAGTTAGCAATATTTTTGTTATGAGGAGTAGTGGAAGTTTCATCAAGATCCTAGATCACAGGAGCTTAATTAGTTGGGATTACACCCCAAGTTGAAACAACAGAGGATCATGGGGCTGTAGTCTCCAAGCGTTTCCCTAAGGATCATGTGTTATCGAAGTTCAAGATCATGGGTTGCAAGATTGATGGTGTCGCCTCCTGGGGTGGTGGAATGTTTTTATAATAAATGGGAGGAATAGAGGAAGAAGTTGAGGTTGATTGCGTAGACATGATTTTTCGAGAATTATGAACACCACGGCCCCACGATGGGCGCCAAATTTTTTTGGTCAAAAATCGATCAGAAGGATATCAACCAAATTGCATGAGAGGCTGTGGTGTTGTTATTAATGTGAATATGAAATTGAGATCAAAATAACACAGATGGTTTACAAGGAAAGCCCTTGATCCTTGCTAGGATCTCTGACATAAAACCTTGGGAGGTGATAATGATCACCTGCCTTGTATGATCTTATTGATTTGAACGTAAATTACAAAGATGAGCTTGATAATACGATTAAAAATGATAAAATGAGTCTAAATGAGTAAGGTGTCAGCTAATTGTGCCGGTTGTGTGAGTTTTACAAGTGTATTTATAGTCTAGGGTAAGTAACTATAAATCCGAGATTTCCGGGATCCTGTTGAACTGGTGTTTGCACGTGCTTTGACTTGGTATTTCTGGATCTTAAGCCTTATTGGAACGTTTCTTAATTGAGAATGAGTCTTATATTGACCAATTCTGCACATGTAAGAAATAACCAAGAAATATAGCCGTTAAACTTGTTAGGAAATAATAATGGCGGTGTTCAGGATCTTGATGAATGTTCGGGCTCCTGAGACTCCTTTAACATCCGGGATCCTGGATAGGTTTAAGGATCCTCATATATTTTAGAGATTCAGGATCCTGTATAGGATTGAGGATCTTGGCCCTAACAACATTCATATGTAGATGTTGTATACGGTTTCTCTATAGCATGTGTAGGTTGTTGTAGGGCGACGGTTAGACTTAGCATCCATCGTTGTTCGGATGCCAGTTGGGAATTGAGGTTTGTGTATCTAAGGCAGTTAGTGTGTTTTTTCATGGGTTGTGCTCAATAATAATAGTGGTGATGCTTGTGCTAGAGATGGAATGGAAATTGAAGGCTATGGTCGGACCATAGAAATTGATGAAGAGGTATTGATGGGTGTTAACATTTGTAAGTATTATTTTTGGTGGTCCTTGGTATCGCCTATTGCAGGATGCGTTCAGATCGTTGGCAGGTGTCGGAAAGGATGTTAATTAGGTTCCTGCAGGTCAGTAGGATGATGGTCACATGCCTATAGGCCCATCAAGGTGCTAGTCGTGAGTCTTTAAGCCCATGGACGAATGATGGCAAGAGCGATGTCGTACCGTGATCCTCTCATTCCAAAGTTTAGGTGGTGACTAAATAAATGCCACATGTTATTTTCTCAAAATCAAAATTAAAATTACCCCACATAATTCTTACACATCAGTTAGTTATGTATTCATAATGTCATGTATAACTAAGAAACTCATTAGTATTTTCAATTTATTAAGGTGTTGGTATTTCACATTAGAATAATCAACTAGTTAATTTCTTAGTTATGATCATTTCTAAAAATATCTAATGTGTTATTTGTATTTTCCGTTATGAATACACAATTAAAATGTGTTAACGGTGCTTATACAACAAGATGGTGTTTTAGTTGTATTCTATGATAAATATACAGTTAAGTTATATGTTACACATTCATATATTAGCTGTATATTCCAATGAGAATATACAACCAGCTGTAATATATATATATATATATATATATATATATATATATATATATATGTGTGTGTGTGTGTGTGTGTGTGTGTGTGTGTGATATTAAAAATTAGATTGTATATAAAAGCCTATCAATATTTGGTTAGAAATAATTTTGATCATTAACTTATGCATCCATATTAGGATGGGCTAAGACATGTGGTTGCTTGAGACTTGGATATCCAAAACATGATATACAGTCAAGGCAAGATGGGTGATGGCATTCTAGATTCTAGAACGTCCACTGACACAAGGGACTGACGTTTGGTTCTATATGGTGGCATCCTAGAACATAACATTGGACAACTATGTGATCTATTCACATGGGTCTGGAGGGTCGAGCTTGATACTTGGATATCCAAAACGTGGTATTCAGTCAAGTCAAGATAGGTGTTGCCATTCTAGAACGCAGGGACTTACGTTTGGTTCTACATGGTGGCATCCTAGAACCAAGCACCAGACAACTATGTGATCTATTCACATGGGTCTGGAGGGTAGAGTATAGGGTATGCTACTTGTTATCTTCACACGTGCCCATTGTAGCCATATTTGGTGAGTTAGCACTATGAGAATAACATGGGAATTAAGAGTAGTTGCATATGCATTGCATACTTCTATTTTTTTATGTATTTTACGAATGGTTATTATGAGATTTGTTTGAACTGTTCCCCCGAGTTGAGATCCTAATGACCATTTCATGTTTTGAAAACTATTTTTGGGGTTTTGACCTTGGGATTGGATGATCGCACACATCATCGGCCCTTCGAGAGTATATATGGGTATCCAGTAGGCTTTCCAAGACTCACACTTGTATTTTGGCTAGGGATGTCAAAAACCCCCCGTGGGACCCCGATACCGTACGAGACTAAATTATTAAAAAAACCCGGGAGCGGGAGCAGGGGCGGGGGCAGAATTAAACCCCGTTTATTTTCGGGACCGGGGTTGGGAGTCGGTATTTCCGTCCCGTACTCCCGCGGGGGCCTCGGTTGTACATTTATGTAAAAAAATATATATTTAATATAAAATACATATACAAAATAGATTTTCTAATTTTAGGATATTGAAAATGTAGTGAATTGGTCATATATTTTTAGACATGTCAGTATTTTATATTTGTAATGTTGGATTTGTCGTATTTTACATTTGTAATGTTAGATTTGTCGTATTTTATATTTATTAGATTGTTGGAAGTGTCGTTTTGTAATGTTGGATTTTTAATTTTTTTAGTTTCTAAAAGATTAGGTTTTAAGCTTTTAAAGTTATTAAAAATAATATTTTTAGACTAAAACAAAACATTTTTTTAGCAAAAAAAAGTTCAATTTTAAGCCTATAAACCGGGGGTGGGACCGGGGGCTATGTAAATGGGGGATCCGGGGGCGGGGGCAACAACTGATTTCGGGGGCAGGGGCAGTTATTTCCGCTCCCGTTTGGTCCCGTTGACATCCCTAATTTTGGCATTATTCCAAATTGGAAGATTTAAAGAAGACTTCGGATGAATTAGCTTGTGGACTTTTAGAAGAAGTTGTAATATGAGATTTCACTTATGTATTTATGCATCTAACTCACATTTTGAAATCTTTAAAACAGGCAGCATGAGTTTGCCATTCTCTATTGTACTCATGACAAAAAGTTGCTTCCTTCATTTATTTATATATTATAACATCCTGACTATTTTTCTTTCTATTGCATTTTGTTTCTCATCAAGGCATTGAACTTCAGAATATCTACCTCATTATAGTTTTCTACTTTCATTTTTGTTCTTTTTTTTTAGTACACATTACAATTTGGAAATTTTACCTGATTATAGAAGTGAGAAATATTTTTTTTATTTGGATAAAATTGCTAGAATATTAAATAGGACGAAATGAAAGTACCAAGCTATAAATATAATACATAAATTTTGTACATAATACATAAGGATCTACAACACACCTTACTGAATACTGATCCAAGAAAATGTTGAAAGAAACATGTTCACAATCAACTCATCGCATTCAAGATCAATCATGATGAGAAATTATTCGACTTCAGAAAAGGTTTCAAGAATTGAGACCCTTTTGTTATAAGAACCAATTAACCGAAGAAACGATCAATTGAATGCATCCTGTGCAAACAGAAATGGTTTAGAAACAAAATTTATGATATGGAAGTTTTGTAACAAGTGGTGTGTATGGTTGTATGTGTACCCTCATTTGTTCATCGTTGTAGGGTGCATCAGGTGCTGTGATTCTTGTTATTTCACTGATGGATGAAGTAACTGCGTCTGCAACCTTCACATCAACATCTGAATGTCTTGAAAGACCATCATGTATCAACGCCTTCATTACTGAATAGATGTTTCTCAGCTTGCTAAGGAACCTAGAGAAAAGCAAGAATTCGTTGGACCAATTGAGAGTATGAACAGAAGAAACACTCAGTAATTCCTACTTTCGAGTGTCAAATTGTGTCTACTGTTTGTGAATTCAGAAATCAACAAGAGTTGTTTTGCTTGTGTAGTAGATTTTGACGTTGATTCTAGATTTGAAAAGGTGAAAGTTTGAAAATCAAAGATAAATATGGGCTTCGTTTTGGAAACAAAAATCACATTGGGGCTTACATCAAGAATAGGGAGGAGTTGATTGACGGAAGCCGGGGGATGTAAATGTAAGAGCTGTTTCCTTGAATCCTTAAGCTGTTGCTCAGCCTCCTTCTTCAATTTCCATCTCATCCTTTCCCTCTGATAAACACAAAATCCGATCCGGATATGGTGACGTTATCATAATCTGATCCAGTCAAAATCTGATCCTGTTTGGATTGGATTTTAAGGTTTATTTAGATCCGGTTATAATCCGGATTCGAACCAGTTTGATATGATTTACAGATTTAGGGGGTGTTTTTGTAAAAATTCTTTTTGATTTAGTTTTGGTAAAAGCTAAAAAATTGTTTTTAAAAAGTATTTGGGTTGTATTTTTTGACTTTTAAATATAATTTATCTTTTAAAAATGCTAAAAGTCATAAAAAGACACAATTTCCTGACTTTTGAAAAACTTTCGTTTTCTTCTTGACAAAAAGTTACATTAAAAATGATTTTTCTATTTTCCAAATATCTTTTTAAATTTTTTGACTTTTTGGAAAAAGCAATCCCAAACACCATTTTAGTATGCCATGGATTGGATTTTAGGATGGATTTTGATCCGGATTTTGACAAATCTGGTTTTATTATCCGATATCAAATTAGATCTAGTTATAATATGGTAGATGAGATTATCCAATCAAGTTTGGTCAAAATCTGAATTTTGAACAGATCCTAATATGATGTGGGATTTTGTTGTGTATATTTAATTATCAAGTAACTTAATATTTATTAATAAAGAGTAAACTACAAATTTCATCCCCGTGATTTCCTAAAACTTTGGATAAAATCTAAAAAGTTTCTATTAGTCCAAAGTACAAACTTTTTGTGGATTTGATTCCTACCAAACATTAAATAATTATATATATATATATATATATATATATATATATATATATATATATATATATATATATATATTACAAATAAAATGGAGACCCATAATTCCACGATGCCTTAGCAATTGAAGTGCATACTTTCATATGTTTATGGTTGAAAACATAACGTTTTAGGATGGGCTTGACGTAGGCTTCCCAAAGGTGGCGATTTATTTTATTTATTTTTTATCAATTGGCAAATGGATTAAAAGACCATGATTTTCTCTATATCTAAATGTTTTTGACGGATTCTATTTCCAAAATCATTTTACGAACTAAATGCTTTTCTATACTATTTATTTGAACCTTCACATTAGAATCCACATTTGTGTACCAATATAATTGTTCACTTCCTTTGTAACTGCTTGGACGATTGTTGAATTCACTTTTTTGCAAAACAAAATAAAAAAGAGGAGGGGCGATTCCCCACGTAAGAAAACATAAGATAAAAGGTCTTATCTTTGCTTTGTCATATTTGCAAAAAGAAATCATACCCAAATTCTGAATTATTAAGATAAGGCACTTAATAAAATCATACCCAAATTCTCAATTATTAAGAAAAATTCAGAATGCACAATTCAGGCAGTTACACCCCCCCCCCCCCCCCCCCCCCTTATAACAAAAGAAGCCCAATCACACATTTAGAAGTTATATAATGGATTATATGAATGTTTCTTCAATGTAAAAAAAAAGGGATAATGACTTACAAAAATAACATACTTTTCGATTTGTATATATTTAGTTACTAAGTTTTTTTTTTCTATTTATATTTGTCCCTTTCAACTTGTTTAACTGTATACATTCAGTCATTATGGCCGACTACTCCAGATAAGTCGGAAAAAATGACTTAATATGGTAATATATTTCTCACTTTCTACATATTTAGTCATTCATATTTTTTTTTTTTTTGCATATTTAGTCCTTAATATTTTTTCTATTGCAAAATAAGTCAATGTTTTTGTACACATTCAATTCTTATGAAGGTTTCTTTAGGTTTTTTCACGGTATCCTACATAGGACAATCTTTAACGAGGTGTCCGGGGGTGTTCATGCTTATGACCACCACAACTACGATTACTTGGTGCTTAGGTTTTGTGTTGTGAACGTCGTAACTTCTTCATACAATATTGGATTTTAAAGATCTTTATATCCACACGTTCGTATTTAAGTCTATTATAATTTTCGTTTAGATTACTCTCGTTAAAAAATAATATATTTTTACTTACGAATTTATAAAGAAAACGTTCATACATATATTCATAAATAATGCATGTATATAAAGATCATAAGTAAAACTATATTACTTTTTAACATGAGTAATCTAAACGAAAGTTATAGTAGACTTAAATACTGTAACGACCCAAGTTTTCAAAGAAATTTTCATTTTTAATTAATAAAACACATTTGCATAAACCATGAAATCCCAACATAATTGTTTTCAAATCAGTATTCATTACAACTTATTTAAATCATCAGAGTGTCCCCAAAAACATATCAGTGAAAGAGAGATAGAGTGCACGTCGCGCCATCATGCCTTGCGCTTGCCCTTGGGCTCAGATGTACCTGAAACAAATTAACAACCTGTAAGCGAAATGCTTAGTGAGTTCCCTAGAGCATACCGCACACAATACACATACACATATCCTGTTAGCTAATTAAAGCTACACACATATCACATAAGCCATGCATACATAAAACCTGTAAGAATGCCATGGGCTACCCCACATGGTCTTTACTTAGGACTGCCATGGGCTACCCCACATGGTCTTACATCCAATGTCATGGGCTACCCCACATGGCCTTTACCTAGGATTGCCATGGGCTACCCCGCATGGTCTTACATCCAATGCCACGGGCTCCCCCCGAGGTCTTCCATGCAAAACACACATTCACATGACATACCAAAACACATAATGACTAACACATATATCATAATCACATAATGGGTCGGCCTTGGTGCCTTAGACCCATGGGTATGGTGAGAAGACTCACCTCTGCCTGCTGAATACAGAAGCTGTTCTCCTAACGGTCCGTAACCTCCCGTGCTGAATAATAATATTAAACAATGTTAAGACTTTAATTAACCAAGGGAAACCCAAACTCCAAACCCTTCCATAAGGCCCAATTATCCATCCCTTGCTAATGGGCCTAAAGTCCAAGTCCAAAATCCTTAATGGGCCTCTTGGCCCAATAAAACCCAATCAATATGTCCATGGCCCATAACAAATGATATGACTCATAATTCCCAGAATACACCATGCCTAATAATCAAATGAGGCCCAAATAGCTCAAAGGCCCAAAACAGATTCGACCCATCTGTGATGCGTACGCTCGGCGTACCATCCTGGTACGCGCAACGTATTGGGGTCTTGGGACTACGCGCGGCGTACACTGGGTTACGCCCAACGTACAACCAGTTTAAGCACTTTCTCCATTAAGCGCTTAATACTCGTTTCCTTTACGTCCAAAATCAGATCTAAGTTTGTTAAGACATCCTAAGGCATAAAGTTGGCAACTTTATGCCTTTGCATGCCTCATATACACCCAACACTTCCATTAAGACCTTTCCAAGGTCTTTAACCCATGCATGAGGCCAAAACTCCCATCAAAACTCAATTTTTATGGTTCTAAAGGACCAAGGGACCTCAGATCTGTCTTTCCCATCTTCTGGAGTTGCTTAACTCACAAATGGAGGTCCAAAATCAACCAAAAGGGACAAGGTAGAAAACCCTAGCTAAATCTAAAGATTTAAGATGAAAGATCCAAGCTTTTTACCTCCAGAAGCTTTGTAAGATGACTAAGATGCAGATTCTTGAAGCACCAACTCGTTCCAAGCTTGTTTAACCACCTCTTCTTCTTGGAATGAACACTAAAAGGGCCACAACTGCACTCTTTAAAGCTCAAAATGGTCTCACAAGTTTCTCTGGAGTGTAAGGACATTCTAAAGCTGTGGAGGCTTTCTTGGGTTTAGTCCAAGGGACTTAAGGTCGCTTAAATAGGCCTCATGTCCGAAAATTAGGGTTTTGGACCCCTGACACGTACGCCCAGGGTACTGCTGGTACGCCCAGCGTACGTCCAGCTCCTCCGCGACCAGCCATGCATAGTACGCTAAGCGTACACTTAAGTACGCCCAGCGTACTTAAAGGACCAATTATGCTAAAATGTATATTCTTGAGGGTTTCAAGTCATACCAGATTTAGGGTGTTACAACTCTCCCCCACTTGAACTAGACTTCGTCTTCGAAGTCCGTAGCTGTAAACAGTTCGGGGTAATGCTCCCGCATCTGCTCCTCCGGCTCCCAAGTCCATTCGGAGCCCTTCCGGTCCTGCCAATGTACGTTTACCAACTTCACTTCTTTGTTCCGAAGACCCTTCGTCTTCCTATCTAAGATGACGACTGGCTTCTCGACATAATTCAGGCTCCCATCCACCTGAATGTCATCCAAGGAAACAACTGCAGACTCGTCAGCAACACACTTCCGAAGCTGAGACACGTGGAAGGTATTGTGAATCTGACTAAGCTCCTCAGGGAGCTCTAAGCGATATGCCACCTTGCTCACCCGGGCCGTGATCCTGAACGAGCCTATGAACCGAGGCCCCAACTTGCCCCTCTTCCGAAACCTGATAATCCCTTTCCAGGGCGACACCTTCAGCAGTACAAAATCCCCCACCTGAAACTCGAGATCCGAACGCTGTCGGTCAGCATAAATTTTCTGACGGCTCTGCGCGACTCGCAACCGGTCACACGCCTGCTGAATCAATCCGGTGGTCTTGAGCACTACCTCAGTGCTCCCTATGACCCGATGCCCAACCTCGTCCCAACACATTGGGGTCCTGCACCTCCGACCATATAACATCTCGAATGGGGCTCGATCAATACTAGCATGATAACTATTGTTGTACGAGAACTCTGCCAGTGGGAGGTATGTATCCCAATTCCCTCCAAAATCCAGTACACATGCTCGAAGCATGTCCTCCAGCGTCTGGATCGTCCTCTCACTCTGACCATCAGTCTGAGGGTGGTACGCCGTACAGAAATGTAGCTAAGTGCCCAGTTCCTCGTGGAACTTCCTCCAAAACCTGGAAGTAAACCGGACATCTTTGTCGGAGACTACAGACACGGGCACCCCGTGTCTAGCCACCACTTCTCGGACATAAATGTCTGCCAACTTCTCCACGAATATACTCTCGGAAATCGGAATAAAGTGGGCACTCTTCG